GTAGAAAAAAATATGCGTTGTCTGTACTCAAAATAGTTAATCGAGATTTTCTTTCGCTTACAGGACCCTCACAGTGACGTGTAAACTTAGTTTAAAATTCCTCCTATTTCCTCCCAATCGATTGTCTATGAGTTTCTGACGTGGTACGAATTTAATTTTACATTGCATTGCCTTCTTACTTTTTCCTTTATATCTAAGCACTATTGCCCGAGCGTGAAAATCTCAGTAGTTTCGGACGCTGAAATCCTGTTCAGCACAATATTCTTTTTTGCAATAACTGCGGAAATTCTCGCGCGCTCATTGGCTAATTTTCATTGTCGATAAGCCGGCAGACGCATGAATTGCGATGTTGACGCAACGAACGACAGCGGACAAGTTGACAATTTGTTATTGTAAAAATCAAATTGACGTCAGTTTCTTATGCGTCTGTCCTGTTATTGACAATGAATTTCATCATAACATTGTCAAAGATGTCTGCGGAGCTGTTATTGCAGTTGAGTCTGCCCTCAAATATTCTTTTGTTTTAAAAGGCATTCAAACGAAGCGAAAGGGTCATTATAATGCAGAATTGACCCTGTCGCCTCGTTTGAGTGTCAAGCCTCTGATAACTGCAACAACAGCTATTCTGACAATTTTATGACAAAATTCATGATCAGTAACAGGACAGACGCATGAAAAACTGACGTCAACCCCTCTACACTCAACTTTGTTCCCATGGCTTTTTTCCTTTCCCGTCCGCCATGGGGATGAGGTTGGTCCACTTGATTGTTGCCTACAAACTATATATAACTTGGACAACCTGTTGAAAACTTACCTAATTTTCTTGTTTCATACGGTATCTTGCTAGAACATATGGTGTGAGTGCAACTGAAGCGTGCAAAATTGTCTTTACTGAAATTCTAGCCAGTAAGCGCTGGCGAGAAAATGGAGCTTGTAACCGAGTGCGTCACAGAATAATTACGTGTATATAAATGCCCATGTGACCGCTGACTAACGGGCTCAATTGTATTTGAAGACCTTCGAGCAATCAAAACGACAGTCAGACATAACATGTGGAAAAGGGATCGAAAATCGAAAGAACTATCGGATTATTGAGAGAAAAGTGAATGCTAACGATAGAATGATACTCTTTCTCGGAAACTGAATAGCCAGAAACGCTGTTATCAAGATGGGAGAACCAAAAAGGTTGGTCGAACTTTATAAACTCTAAACTTGAGCTCTATAAAAATTATATGGTTGAGCTGTAAATTACGTGGTTGTTCCATAGTAATTGCTTGTTGCAATTGTTCGATGTAAACAGAATTGCAATAGGTTTTATGTTGTATTACAAAATTTTGAAAGGTAAAGGTAGCTGGTGCTCTGAATACAACATTTATATCGATCACTTCCATCTGCCTCGAGTCTGTACAGTATTCTACTGTGTTTCGTTAACTCCGCTGTACATGTTACATGTAGGTATGGACTTATCATTCCAAATAAAAAGGCAGCAAACAAACCAGTGAAGAAACTGGCGGTCTTTGGTAATGATTCCAGTGATGATGAGGTAATTTTATTTCAATAATAAAATAGTAAAAGAATAATTAAACAAGGAGTACTGTTTTTTGCCTTAAATATTTATTCTTATTGTGTACAAACAGTGTAAGATCTTATCAAAAGGACGATGATTATAGATGTAAATATGTCATAATAGTCCTTATCATGGCCGACAGTGAGCCAACACTTAAGTCTGAAACATAACAAAAACTGTCAGCTGACTGTAGGCAGTTTGTAACTTAACATTTTTCAACCAACAGATGGTCGACATTTGACAGACCGATAGCCAACTGTCAGCCAACAGTTGGCCAAAAGTTGACCAACAGTCGGCTGACAGACGACCAACAAGATTTTTTGGGAACTGTTCTTCACTTTAAACAGGTAATTTAAGGTCTATTCATTATAATAGTTATGGTGTGGTTCAATTTATTCAGGAAACTGCTCACAAAGAAGTGAATTTATCCCTCATCCAAGAAGCACAAAAGAAGAGGCAAATGAAACAGGTACGTGTAACTCTTTTGTTTTGGTTGCACTCTCAAAATATCATGTCTCCACGTGTATCCTTACATTTCTTTAAATGTTAGTCTGGAGAATCTGGGGTTATATCAAGATCATTTCTCCTGGATGATGACTTTTTTTTCTTGTTGCATGTTTTGTAGATAATGAATCATTATTTCAAGGTACTAGTAGTACATGTATGAAAAGAAAGCAGGGCTTGGCCTCGAAAAAAATGTCCATAGCAACAAGTATCCCAGTCCTTATTTATTATTCACAGACCAAGCAAAATTTGGAACTCTCCTGACTCAAAAGCATCTTTGTTATACTTTCTATACAGACACAGATTGAAATTCAGAAAGCATTGAAGGATGACCCAACAGTCTATGAGTATGATGCTGTGTATGATGAAATGGAAGAGAAAAAGAAAGCTGTGAATGTAAAAGTTCCAGAGAAGGACAGAAAGGTATGTGTACAGTTATTGTAACAAGAGAAAGAAATGACCAATTCCCTCCACGAGATGTGCTTGTAGGTAATTGTATTCATTAGAACAAATATCCAGTCCAATGTAGTGAATACAACTACCATGATTCAGGGATTTCCTTAATTTTTTCCGCAGGAGGGCAACTGGTTTTCACAGGGAGGCAAAACTTTTTGAACTGAAATTCTCTATAAGAAAAACATTCCTCTAGATGATCAAACCAGGTGGGCAAAATCATCCTCACAGCCAGTCAATTTGCCGGTGCCCAACCCTTAATGAAACTCCTGATGACTCCTTGCAGGCATGTATCATGGAGGGAATTGGCCATTAGGTAGCTTTTAGTATTTGTTGATGCCATTATTACATGAAGAGCACAAACTATATTTTAGACCTTGTCCACATGTATCTGGATATTTTTGAATCTGCAACTTTTTCTTTCCAGATTCAAAAATTCCCCTGTCCACATGTAGCGTATTCAAATCGAATTTGCCTGTCCACATGCATCTGATGGTATCCAGATTCACTCTAGAGAAACTAGGCCTACATGTTGTGCTGCCATATTGGTTTATTGCTTGGTAAGAGACTGTACACAATTTTGCTAAGTCATCGGATTTGAAAATATCCAGATTTGCTGTCCACAAGTTATCGGATTCGTTGTGGATTTATTTTTTCCACTCTGGAGAGCAGATTGAAAAATATCCAGATTCTCTGCTGAATTTGCCAGATAGGTGTGGACAGAAGCCGTATCCAGAAAGAAAAAGTTGCGGATTCAAAAATATCCAGTTACGTGAGGACGGGGCCTTACAAATCATGAAGTTGGAAAATTAACCCAGCAGGGATGGTTCACAAGAAGAAGGGAAGGTCATGGTGCAGTAGTGAGAGCAGTTTTTTTATTTTAGTTTGTTAATAGTGGTACTAGTAAGAGCATTTGCCTCCTACTAATGTGAGTAGGTTCAAATCTTTGACCCAGCATTGTATAAACTGAATTTGCAGGTCCTCATCCTTGCTCATTCTTGCTCTTAGAATAGTTCTCCAGTTTTCCTCCCTTCAAACCAACAACATCTAAATTTCAATTTGATCTGAAAACTGATGATTAAATAATATTCACTAGATGGATGTGTCTTTTTTAATAGTAAATACCCTTTTGTATTTTAATTGTTGTTGGTTTTTTTTAATTTAAATTTTTAACCTGCTTTTGGCAAATGAATATAATTTTACTTTAGCCTGACAAAATGAATCATTCTCAACTCCAAAATAAACTCAGTTTGTTACATGTACCCTGAGCACTACACAGACAAGCAAATCTGATGACCCTGGGCACTAATTAATATTGAAAGATGGAAGCTTGTCATAAAGTGCACCTATTGAGGATGAGGTGCCAACACATTTAAAGCAGGCAAACAGCAAGCTCAAAGCTTACCTGTCACATTATTTTGGGTGTGTCTATGTGGCGAAAGAGTAGCCCTCCATTCTCAGCCACCTTGGGACTTTTCCTGCTTTCTATTTAAAAAGCGGTGAACTGTTCATGAGAGATGATAAAGTTTGCATAGAAGGGTTGAAGGTTACTCACTGTGAAGGTAGAAAGACCCGAAAGGGCAAGCCACCGTTTTACCTTGATGAAAGATAGATAAGTTTGAGTCACCTACTTTGCACTACTAGTTTCCCTTCTCCTTTCCTTTTGAACGTCTGTCACACGCCTGCACACACCTGCCACACAGCCTGAATTAAGACAGGTCAGGGCGTACAGAGCCTGTGGGATCCCTTGATGGCATGAATAAAACGGGACAACTTTTCCTATGTAAATGTGTAGTAAAACTGAGGTGGGTCCAGAAAAACTGGCCCTAAATCTTCACTGGTACTTTTTGTTTGCCTTGTTTTTGAAACTTAGCCTAAGTACATTGCGGGCCTGTTGAAGTCAGCAGCTGCTAGGAAGAGGGACTATGAACGGACTGTAGAGCGGCAAGTACAGAAGGAGAGAGAAAAAGAGCAAGGAGAGTTTGATGATAAAGAAGCTTTTGTTACAGAGGCGTATCCTTTCAAATTTATATTTACTTCTAAAATTTACACTATGAGTAGTCCCTATTTCGCTCAGCTCGTCGTGTGTGACGCGAAAGAAACTCTCACACTTGACGGACTAAGTGAAAGAGGGACTATTCGCAGTCTAGTTAAAATTTGATTTAACACCCTCCCTTCAATAAGCGCCTCCTTCCTAATCAGTGCCCCCTTTTCAACATGTTTGTATTAATAAGCGCCTCTATTCCAATCAGCGTGCCCCATACCAGCTCATACCAATACACGTCCCCATTTACGTCAGCCTGTCCCTCCCTACTCAATGACCGTGCCTCCAGAGTTAATTGAGTTCATGTATCCGTGGTTTATTTCCCTTTTAAACAGCTCCAAGCATACCCGCATTACAAAACAACTATTCTTCTTATAGCTTTCTTATTGTCTCGACTGTTATTTCCGTGTGAAAAAACGAAAGAATCGCCCCGTACCTACCAGGCACCCTACCTTAAGCACTCAGAATTTCATAAGTGCCCCGGGCGGTACTTGGGAATTGCAGCTTGAAGCTGCCCAGATTCGAGCCCTGGCTGGGGCCATTTTGTTGTGTTCTTCAGCAATACACACAAACTCGTAGGGCCTCTCTCCAACTGAAACTACAAAGTGCTACCGGCAAATTGTTTGGGGAACCTCGCAAACTAGAGGAGGGAACCTGGTGATGGACTTGTAACCGGATTCAGGATATAGGGACCATGATATTGAATTGTACAGTCTGGTAACCAAAGGTTGGTTTCCGCTTACGAAAGGTTGTCTGTGAGAGTGTTTCTTAACTGAAATTAAATCAGATTCCGCAGGAAAATGCAAGAACAAGCAGAGGAGGAAGAGAGACTCAAACGTCAAGATGCCATTGACGGTAAATATTTTTTTATGTTTTCTATCCTTCGCAGCTTTTAGTGAGCGCTTCAAGCGTCACATAGCGTTGCGTAACGAGAAATGTTGCATGACGACCCACATAAGTCCTGTGAATGTATGAAGGATAGGCCTGTCTTTTTTGAGGCAGGGTTTTGCAATTTCCAAACAAAAAAATACTGCACAGCAAAAACTGCTGAAAAAAAATCGTGCAAGCGAAGCCATGGAGAACAAAAATCTAGCAAGTGTTTTCTACTATCCAGCTGAGACCAGTTTCTCGAAGGTCCCGAAAATTTTTCGCACCCGAAAAGCCGTAGCAAAATCTCAATCCTTATGATTACAGAGCTGTGTTATGCATATATTCTTAATATGAACAGAGGTTCTCTTCAAACAAGACGTTTCAGGCGTATACACCTCTCTGTCTTTAAATGTCGATTAACTAAAAATGGCTTTGCGAGCCCGAAAAGTTTCCGGGGCTTTCGAGGTCCTTTTTTGATGTTAAAAAATTCTTGCATAAGCAATTGCCCATCAAAGAAAATTTTGCACAACCTAAAAGTGCGAAAAAAATTCCATGCCCCAGAAAAGTCCTCAATCAACCCCTCTTCTCCCCTCTCTCCTGTCAAAAAAATTTTGATACGTCCCTAAGAATCGTTTTCTGACTGGGTCAACACGTAAAGCCTCTAGCCTCAAGTAGCGTTGCGTGACGGCCAACGTAAACACTGCGAAGGTGTTGATAACCTCGAGATTTATTGAGCGGTTTTCTTTTTCAGCTGCCAATGACGTGACGAAGCAAAAGGACTTGAGTTTGTTTTATCGAAACCTTCTGGATCGAAACGTATCTTTGGGCGGCTCATTCACCGGCGAGGATGCAACGAAGAAAGATTTGCAAAACAAGGAAAGACACGGTAGATCCGAACAAGAGGATAAGAAGTCATCTCAAGAAAACCTGGACGAAAGAAAACACGAAGAATATAGAAATAAGGAAGGGAAGAAACATTCAATTGTTGACGAAGAAATGCGAAGACACCCGAGAAGTCCTGTTCGGCATTCGAGAGAACACGATCATATCAGTCGGAATCGGAGAGACAGCGAAGGACACGAGGAACGTCGAAGACGCTCGCTGGATTCTTCCGACAAGGAACGAAGACGACATAGTGGTAGGAACTTCGAGGATCGAGAAAGTCAGAGACATCCAAGTCACTCCGAGAGACACCGATCAAGCCGAGATGATCGCCGGCACTCAGAAAATTCCGAGCGGAGTCGAACAAAGCACGATGATCGACGAGACAGAGTTCGGAAACGCGAGCACCGTGAAGAGGAAGATCATGAGGTAGATAATGGGTCCGTGGCCGAAAGGGATGAAAACGAAAGTGCAAAGATTGTTAGAGAAAGTAAAAAAGCGGAGGAAACATTGAGCAAGGAAAGTCTCAGCAAATTTGCCAAACGCAGTACAGGTGAAACTGTTTTGTCAGCTAAAGAACGCTACCTCGCGCGTAAACGCGCGCGCGATGCCGCTAACGATGTAACGCGAAACCCTGACGACAGCGACGATTAACACTGTTCTTTCGTTTGTTTTGATTGATTGTTTGTAGCCAAAACGGTATTGAACCGAAAAAGTATGACAGGAAATAATGTGTTGTGTTGGGTTTGGTACCTCTTAAGCGTGGAAAAAAAAAAATTCAAGCCACGTCCACAAAACAGGATCCAGGTAATTCTTAGGGGTTCTTTTCAAAATTTCCGACGAGCACCCCCGTCATTTTTATATGGGATTTCTCCCTCCTCCTCCCCCCCCCCCTCCCCCACCGGGCATCAGTTACCCGAGGTTTTCATTATCGAACTTTTACCGCTGTTGAACTTCTTCCCAGCTTGCTGACTGTGTGATAAATTAACACTGCGAACTTCCGGCCCCGATCATGCGATCAGTCCTCTCGGGGCATTTAAATCCTTCAGATTATCACTGGTTACAGTTCTTAC